CAAGAGTTTGAGGTTGCTGTGAGCTGTGACACCACAGCACTCAACCAAGGGCAACATAGTGAGGCTCTGTCTCAAAAAAAAGAAATAAATAAATATTTGAAACTATTGTGGGAATTTAAACATGGACTACGTATTACATACATAGTATTAAGAAATTATTACTAACTTTCATCGTTGTAATAGTAGCAGCGTGATTATGGGGAAAGACTGTTATTTTAAATGTGCACTTAAATGAAATTGACAAAAAGTAATTATTGCAGCTAGATTTTCGGTAGTGTTCTTTCTGCTTTTGTATGCATTTGAAATTTTTCATCATAAAAAGTCAAGAGTGAAAAGGCAGGCCAACTAAAAAGGAAAAAATAGAAATGGGAGGGGAGTAAATCCCACCATCCTGGGAATTCTTGTTTACAGAACCAAAGGGCTATCTGGTAAAAGTCCTTGACTCCAGCAATCAGTCCTGGCAGCCAGTCTGGGTTTATCTCATGCACACGTCCTCTGCTTCACTACAACACATACGAAGCATTCAGATGGCTTCTGAGGGCCAGGAAATTGTGAGGTTTCAATTTTTCTGTTAAAAGCACTGATGCTTACCAGCACTATCCTGAGACAGTCCCAGAGTCACCCATTGCTGCCATCAAACCACAACTGAATAAGCTAATGATCAAATTGCCTGTGTTACACTAACGTTAGTAATAAAGTAGCTAGCTACAATTTTAAACTGACGGAAACCCTTTGCTAGACTATAAACTCCATGTTTGTGGGAGACCATTTTTACCTTCGTCAAAAGCCAGTGATCAGTATACCAGCTGGGCCCCAGTAGCCACCGTTTAATTGAACTGACATGCTTGGAAGAAATGGACCATGATAATGTGAATGCCTTTGAGTTTAGTTTAAAAAAAAAAAAAAAAAATTGTGTTAAAAAGCGGAGTGGGCACCGTGGTGCACGCTTATAGTCACAGCTTCTCAAGAGGCTGAAGCAAGAGGATCACTTGAGCCCAGGAGTTTAAGGCTGTAGTACGCTGTGCCTGTGCCTGTGCCTGCAAATAGCCACTGCACTCTGGTCTGAGCAACATAGCAAGACCCTGTCTCTGGGGGTGGGGGGAGGTGCTAAAAGATTAGGAAAACAAGTTTAAGCACTACCTTCCAAAGATAGTATTTCTCTTCCAAACACTAGAAATTTGGTTAGTAGGAAAAGTAACACAGAGGAGAGCAAGAACAGGAGCAATAGAAGCCCAAAGCCCAAAGATTGGGAGAGAAAATTTGGGGTTTGCCACAGATTCTTACTCAACAGTACCTTTTTAATTTTCCCTATCCTTTTTATCCTTCTCTTTCACCTTATCTTGCTAAGGCTTGCTTCACATCATGCTTGCTAATTCGCAGGTGTCCACCACCTGGAGAATGTCAGGGAGCTAGCAAATTCCAAACCTGTATTACTTTGGTTATGTCCAGTAACAGGTCATATACAGGCCCTGCGTTTTCCCTCCTTCGCCTAAAAGTGAAACTTTGATACATTTTGACATTTAACTTTCCAGAGCGGTATTCATTTTAAGCTCCTAATTCTTAACGCAAGAATTAGTGAAATGAATAATAATAAACCATTATTGTTATTTTACTACTGCTTGAATTGGTAAAAACACAACTAAAATCATATTTCTTTAGGAGGTTTTGAGACCAAAGACCATAATAGAGAGACTTAGGAACTTGCTTTAAGAGAATCCTACCCCATTCCCTACCTCCCCTGACTACTTTTTTATTCACTATTGTAAAGTCTTGATCACATGAACAAGATATGTCTTAATGACCAATTCCAACCATTTGGTTTTATCTCATTTCGTGTGCAATGCTGTGGCTGCACCATCATACAATCGACTCCTGGAAGTCACAAAACAAGATTTTTGACGTGAGGGGATGTCCCTCATTTAGAGTTCCCTTCTGGATAAGATAGTGAAGGCTTCATGGCAGAGAATTCTTGAGAGAAAACAATAGGAGGATGAGGAATTGGGAAGTTTTTTCCTAAAGAAACATATCAGTAAAATAGCCGTGTTGACAGTGTAAAGTGGTGCTTGTATCTGGGGTCAAGGCCAGAGCAATGGACACCTTATCCCACTTACCCTCTTCCCCTGATAAAGCCCCGACCAGTGCTGATAAAGTCTTTCTTCGTAAGACCTAGAGGCCTTTTTAAAAGGTGCTTGAAAAAGAAGAAGACAAAGGAACACTGGTGTTGAGGCTTTTCCAGTCTGTTTCTGGCAGTTGGTCCTGAAAGATGCCTCAGTTCCCGCTTCTCTGCCTCTCCATCATGGTCACCTCAGTGTCATCAACAGGTGAGCCTCATGTCAAGAACTTGGCACAATGCATTTTTTGTTCTTGCCACTTGCTATTTTGTACAGATTACTAAGAACTAGATCGCAGTACTAAATTAGTTCTAGATTAAATACTAGTTCTAGGATCATGTAAGAAAAGTCACTGATACAGCCTGAGCATGAGTGAGACCATCTCTACTAAAAATAGAAAAACTAGCCAGGCATCGTGGTGGGCACCTGTAGTCCCAGCTACTCGGGAGCCTGAAGCAAGAGGATCGTTTGAGCCCAGGAATTTGAGGTTGCTGTGAGCTGTGACGCCACAGTACTCTACCTAGGGTGACATAGTGAGATTCTGTCTCAAAAAAAAAAAAAGAAAGAAAGAAAGAAAAGAATAGGGGGAAAAAAGTAAGAAAGAAAGAAAAGTCACTGATAACATTTGCAAATATATTTTCAGAGAATTTCTGTGGCACATTCCATTTACCCTCTTGCCTGGGCATCCAAATTTTCCATGGATCTGCCACATCCAACAGCTTCCCACTAGCTAAATATTTCTTAGAGTATGTGTAAGGAGTTCTAACCTCTATATTCCAGGTGCTTTTATAGTTTCAACTTTAAAGGCAAATACTGATTCTGAGAGTTGAGAATACTATTTTTCTTTAAGGAATGCAAAGACTGTCCCATGAAGCGGACAGATCTGGATAAACCAAGTTCATTAGACTTCACATCTGAAAAAAAAATAATGTTTTGCAGATTGAGTAAATCTTAAATTGTCTATCCTCAGACCTTGGTGCAAAACTGGCCAACGAGGCAAAGAAAAATTGCAATTCCAGCTAACTGACAGATTTCTCTCTCACTTCTTTTTCCAGTTAGAATTGATAGAATAGTTAGAATTGAAGGGGAGAGGGTAAGATGAAAAAAACTATCCTTGTCGGCACCTTTGAGCAGCTCAGTATTTAACTGAGCCTGATTTATTTCTTGATGGTTACTTGGACTTTGCTTGAACACCTTTAAAAGTAGACCTGAGACCCTAAGGAAACTTCAAAGCTAAATGTAGTGTTGTATCCTGGATGGGATTCTGGATCAGAGAAAGATATAGGTAAAAATGAAAGAAATCTGAATAACTATGGACTTGAATTAATAATAATGCATCAACAGTGGTTCATCAATTGTAGCAAAGGCACCTCGCTCCTGTGTGGTATGTCATGTTAGGGGAAAGTGGGTGTGGGTATATTGGAACTCTTTGATCTATCTTCTCAATTACATCGTAAATCCAAAGTGTTCCCCAAAATAGACTTGAGCTTCCTGTCCTTAATCACCATGTATCTGTTGCCAATAACAGAGTCACTGAGGCGAGAGTGTCCTGGGACAACTCCCATTCCCGTCTTCCCACCCTCCTTCCTCTCTCTCCCTCTAGTACCTTCTATATCCTCCCATTCCTCCTGTCTTGCCCTTCCCAGACTCAGCACTGCTAGGAGGCTCGGCTCAATGCCAGAAGCAAGATAAAGGGGGAACTTTTGAGTCTGGGGTGGGCCTTGCCCTAGGAGGAGAGGAGAAGTGAGAGAAGAGGAAGAAGGAAGGGAAAGGAGAGGGGAAAGAGGGGAGCAATGGGGAGTGGGAGGGAGGAAGATGAGGAGGCAGGGAAGGGGACCCTCTGGACCAGGCCCTAGGGGTGCAGGGTCAGCTGAGGGCTCTCCTCCAGGGAGTGTCAGTATGGACTTGGAGGGCTGGGGGCAAGAGGGTGGGGACACAGACACAGGCTCTCTGTCCTCACTGTGGTCCCCATGAAGGGGGAGGGGACGGGGTCTCATGGGTGTCCCGGTAAATGGCTGAGTGGCTTCTGTCAGGCAGGAAGGAACCTGCAGGGCCGCTCTTTTTGAAGTCCCCCCATTGAGAGGCGTCTATCAGCAATTCCGGATGGATATGCATGATACCAAATTCCCAGTTCCCCAGGGAGTCTGAAAATAGGACTTCAAACCAGTGACCAGATTAGTATTGGATTGAATTGCTGCCTTAAGGGCTGTGGAGTGGGATGGGTGCACTTAATGTCAGAAAATACTGAGTGATTAAAGTTTTTTTTTAATGTGTGGGGAGTTTTAGGGTATAAAAGTATATGTTTATTTTATGTTTTAGAAGGGGAGAGGAAGCAAAAAGGGGAAAAGAGAGAAAAGGGGCAAGAAATGCCATTGCAGCTCAAAGAAAGGAAGAATGCCCGCCAAATGTATTATTTATTATATTTATTTTATTTTAGTTTATTTTTTGGCAGTTTATGTCCAGGGCTGGGTTTGAACCCGCCACCTCCGGCATATGGGGCCAGTGCCCTACTCCTTTGAGCCACAGGCACCGCCCTGAAATGTATTATTTATTTACAGAAGATGGTGGATAAGTTTCCCCTCTTCATGCCATAGCTTCCCTACAGCAGCAGAGGACGAGAACTGCTAACAAATAACACAAGAAATGACTGTTAACTCTAGGGGAAAACTTTATAAATCCTGAAATGGTTATTGCAGGAGGTTTAGGAATTTCTGTAGAAGCCATTAAAAGTTGAGTATCTAACCATTTCTTATAAAATTAGAGCCAGGGAGGTGAATCAAATATTTCAATGAATTTATAATCATCTGTGAAATTGCTCTGGAAACCTTACTTGGTCGAGAGCCAGAGCTGGGAAAGCAGAAGAGGAAATGTTTCCCTTTTGAGAGAGGAGAGTCTGAGGACATTTCTTCTCCCCAAAGGATTGGGGTCTAGGGCTCAGTTGCCATCCATCAAGGACATTTTAAAGAATTAAGAGGGTTGCTCCTGCCATCCACTGCTAATGTGTTATTTCCAGAAAGTGCAATATCCCACTTACTGCTTTTCTCAAATTGTCATATTCTCTTTGGGGCCATTAGCACCGTCCTCCGACTGAAATTTAGAGAGGAATCTTGACTTTGAAATGTACATTGGGAAAATCCAGACTGTTTTCTAGACAATTTAGATTTGGTGATCACTGCTCATTCACATTTAATTACTGCACAGTGTTTGCTAATACAGAATTCCCTGCCCACAAAACACGTTGGCCCTAATGCAAATTCCTTGCCTACAATGTCAATTGACCAAGTCAGTGTCACATACATTAAGGATAGTACTCTCTGGCCAGTGCTCTTTTCTGGAATTTCTGGTTTTCATAGGTTCCTCATAAGAACAATTTACCTACGTTAATGAATTGATTCCATTGAGAGAAACAATAAGAATATTAGAGATAGTGGTGTCTTCCGTCATTAAAATGTTTTTGATGAGATATTTGTCCTTGTCATTCGTGTACTAAAAATGCATCCTTGAGAAGTTTTGCTATATGATAGCTAGGATACTAATGCCAGCTAATTGTGAAGGCACAAAGTTCTTGATATTGTCAATAAGTTGGTGGAATATATGCCAAAATTCACTTGAGAATAGCTCTAGTCACTACGTGCCAATGTATTGTATATTTCAAAGCAGGTGGCATGTGCCTGAGGCCTCTCCTTTCTCAGGGCTACACATTCTTGATCAAGTCAAACTTCCCACTTACACAAATTTCCACCTATAATCTTTATAAATGGCCATTCAAATGCTTTTTTCAAAATTTCCAAAGATTAGGAGCTCTAATTTCCAAAGATATGGCCTCTACTATGACTGGGTAGCTGAACAGAAATGTGCTTTCCTGTAACAGTTTATTCTTGCTTCTGTAACAGAATAGCTAATTCCTCTTTCATAAATCTATTCCAGATTTTTAAAACTTGACATGAGTGCTGTTCAGTCTTTTTTCCAAGCTATAGTTCTCAGCTTCTTCTGCAGGAAGTAATTTGTAGGTCCGCTCTGTATCTGGTCAACTTTCTCTTGACGAGTTTGTCAATTACTTTCATAAAATACAGTTTCCAGGTGTGAGCATAATGCTCAAAATATGGTCAGACCAGGGCAGAGTTCAGTGAGGCTTTCAGCCTAAACTCCCTTGATCTGAACCATTATCCCATCAAATGATCACTCAGTGTAAAAAGTTTAGCCTAGTGCTAACACTAAACCTTAAATAGGTTTGAAACGATTTTGTAAAACACATTTATGAAACGTGTTTAAATCAACTTGAGGAACCTTATTTAAACAGGGACCTGTGGAGACCTTACATAATCTCTTTCTTGAACTCAAGCCAAAATGCAAGTCCCAGCCAGGGGACTCAGACTGTTGTCACTACGGTCTGAAACAGCAGTAGGGACTTCTGAGGTGTCATTTTCATTCCTAGCCCTAGATCCTTGTTCTGCTTACATCAGTCTGAACGAGCCCTGGAGGAACACTGACCACCAGTTTGATGAGTCCCAAGGTTCTCCTCTATGTGACAATCACGTGGATGGAGAGTGGTACCGCTTCACAGGCATGGCAGGAGATGCCATGCCCACCTTCTGCATACCAGAAAACCACTGTGGGACCCATGCACCTGTCTGGCTCAATGGCAGCCACCCCCTAGAAGGTGATGGCATTGTGCAACGCCAGGCCTGTGCTAGCTTCAATGGGAACTGCTGCCTCTGGAACACCACGGTAGAGGTCAAGGCTTGCCCTGGAGGCTACTATGTGTATCGTCTGAGCAAGCCAAGTGTCTGCTTCCACGTCTACTGTGGCCGTGAGTACCTTCCCTGTGCTCTTTGTCCTCCCCAATAAGGCCACGGGTAGGTTCAAAGGGAAAGATGCCACAGGAAATTCAGTTATGTGCAGTAGTATCTCAGAATCTGAACAACCTCGATTTGGGGCCAAGGATACCTCTAGATTGTGATTTCTGAGATCTGTTCTTAGAATCTCCGAAAAATTCGGAAAGGACCCAGGATTTTGATCAGTTCTATAATTTGTCTTCATTTCATTCAGACAAAACATTTGAAAATTAAATGTTGATTTAGGTTATCTAAATAGTGGATTTCTAACATTTTTCCTACAGAGGACCCCTTTTAAGATATCTATAAATAGATAGATAGATATTCAGACAGCTATATGGTAGCTTTGTGCTAAGAATCCGTTGTTGTGGTTTTTTTTAATGATGTACTGAAGCCGGGTGCGGTGGCTCACGCCTGTAATCCTAGCACTCTGGGAGGCCGATGCAGGAGGACCATATGTGCTCAGGAGTTCAAGACCAGCCTGAGTAAGAGCGAGACCCCATTTCTACTAAGTGTAGAAAAATGGGCTGGGTGCCTGTAGCTCTAAGTGGTTAGGGCGCTGGCCACATGCCCCGGGGCTAGTGGGTTCGAACCTGACCCAGGCCTGCTAAACAAAAATAAAATAAAATAAAAGTAGAAAAGTTGGCCTCCTGTAGTGGTAGGCACCTGTAGTCCTAGCTACTTGGGAGACTGAGGCAGCAGGATGGCTTGAACCCAGGAGTTTGAGGTTGCTGTGAGCTGTGAGCTAGGCTAAGGCCATGGCACTATACCCAGGGCAACAGAATGATACTGTGTCTAAAAAAAAAAATACATATATATATATATACACACACACATATATGTATTACATTATAGGAAGAAGCCACTTGATATCAGTAATACTCTTAAACTAATTTCTAAGCCAGGTGTGGTGGCAGGACTTTAGTCCCAGCTACTTGAAAGCCTGTGGCAGAAGATTACTTCAGCTGAGGAATTCGAGGCTGGCCTGAGCTATGATTGCACCACTACACTCCAGCCTGGGCAACAGAGACGGCCCCCTTTTTTTTTTTTTTTAAAGGCATGTTCCTGGTCCTCTCTTGTCATGAAAGGTAATCATTATTCTTCCATAGATTTTTATGACATCTGTGATGAGGACTGTCACGGCAGCTGCTTGGAAACCAGCGAGTGCAAATGCTCTCCGGGAACTGTGCTGGGCCCCGACAGGCAGACGTGCCTCGGTAAGAAACTGATCCTCCATCATTTTCTCCGTTTGTTGTCTTTTTACTTTATGCCCAGACTAAAGCCTCAAGCCAGATTTATACTGTGATTTGAGACAGTGGGGAATTGTGCTCTCTGCTGCACGTGGCTATGGAGCACTTGAAATGTGGCTGAAAAACTGCATTTTAATTTTGCTTACTTTTAATTTAAAAGCTGATATTTGGGGCTGGGTGAGGGGGCTCAAGCCTGTACTCCTGGCACTCTGGGAGGCCAAGCCAGGTGGATTGCTTGAGCTCAGGAGTTTGAGGCCAAGCTAAGCAAGAGCAAGACCCTGTCTCTACTAAAAATAGAAAAACTAGCCGGGCGTTGTGGTGGGCCAACTACTCAGGAGGCTAAGGCAAGAGGAGCTTTTGAGCCCAAGAGTTTGAGGTTGTTGTGAGATGCAACAGCACGGCACTCTATACTCATAGTGACAGAGTGAGACTCTGTCTCAAAAAAAAACCCCCAAAACTCTGATATTTGATTCAGTCACTGGGAAACTGAAAATGTCCGGGACAACTTAGGTAACTGTGAATTTTATGACTCATATTCATTTACTCTTTTTTTTATTTAATTAATCTCATGACAGATTAAATTTTATGACTCTAAATACTGTACAGATCTGGTATTTCTGATAAAAATTTGTCATTTGAATTGAGTTGTGCTATAAATTCACTTGAAAGTGTGTTCAAAACACATCAGATTTTGGCAACTAATACAAATAAAGAATATAAAAAACTCAATGGTTTAAAAATTGATTATATATCAAAATGAACATATTTTGGATATATTCGGTTAAATGAAATATATTATTAAAATTAATTTGACTAGTTTCTTTAAAAAATAAATTTTTTTTTTTGAGACAAAGTCTCAAGCCATCGCCCTGGGTAGAGTGCCAAGGCATCACAACTTACAGCAACCTCCAACCCCTGGGCTCAAGTGATTCTCCTGCCTTGGCCTCCCAAGTAGCTGGGACTAGAGGTGTCCACCACAACACCTGGCTATTTTTTGGTTGCAGCCGTCATTGTTTGGCGGGCCTAGGCTGGATTTGAACCAGCCAGCTCAGGTGTATGTGGCTGGTGCTGTAGCCACTTGAGCCACAGGTGCTGAGCGTCTTTTTAAAAAATTTTAATGTGACTACTAACAAATTAGAAATTAAATATATGGCTTATTTACTATTTCTCCGAGGCAGCCTTGATCTAGAATTATCAAAGGACATACTCCTATAGCTTTACTAATACAATGTTGGTTGCTCTGAGTGTCAAGAAAGGCAAGGCAGATTGTTTGTAGGAAATCTAGAGTTGTTGAATTGTACATAATATTTTGTTGTCTATAACTGGAAGAGAACAGAGATGAAATACCCAAGATTGAAGATCATCCCCCTTTCTCTAATATTATGAAGGTTTTTGGATTCAAACTCAAATAGATGTGAACACGTCTAGAGAGAAAGGGGAGGATTAGCCCACTCCCACTCTCCTCCCTCCAAGAAGAACATTACTAGGGTAGCGTGGGATAGGTCATTATGGGGTAAGGGGCTATGAAAGGCTTTTTATTTTAGAAAAAGCTTTTGCTCTTCAATCTCATAAACGAACCCCACTGACCGTCCTATGGACCATGTGTAAGCCTTACCATAGGAGCTGTTAGAGGTCTCAAATAATCGATTCTGGCTATTTGGTTTAATGATCATGGCTTGGGGTAAGGGCGATAGTGGCTTCCATAATCTCTGTACATGCTCACACACGTGCTCTGTTGAAAAATATTTGGCTTCAGGCTCGGCGTCCGTAGCACAGTGGTTACAGCACCAGCCACATACACCAAGGCTGGCAGATTTGAACCCAGCCAGAGCCAGCTAAACAACAACGCCAAGTGCAACAGAAAATAGCCCGGCATTGTGGTGGGAGCCTATAGTCCCAGCTACTAGGGAGGCTGAGACAAGAGAATCGTTGAGCCCAAGAGCTGGCGGTTGCTGTGAGCTATGTTGTCGTGGCACTCAACGAAGGGTGACATAGTGAGACTCTGTTTCAAAAAAAAAGAAAAAGAAAAATATTTGGCTTCATTTTAAGCCAGGATTTGTTTGTTCAGTTTCTTTGCTTTTGTTCTAATATAATTTTGATTAATACATTTAAATGATCCACTCCCAAATTAAACAGCATGAAAAGATACACAGTGCGATGTCCAGCTCTCAGTCACCCATTTGCACCATTGCTCCATTTTGCCCTTTCTCCACCCCTTCCCTAGTTAAGTTTTGTATTATTTCTTTACGTATGCTTCCAGGCTTTCTTCAGGCAGATATCAAATGCAAATGTGTATGATTATTGGAGGTTTTTTTACATCAAAGGTAGCATATTATATGATATAGTTTGTAGATTTGTCCCCTCTACATCACCTGTGAAATTTGATCCCCTGTTAGAGGTGGGGCCTCATGGGAGATTTAGGTCACAGGGGCAGATCCCTCATGAATGGCATGGCTTGGTGCCGTCCTTCAGGTATGGAGTGAGTTCTCACTCTGTTAGTGCAAGTGAGAACGGATTATTAAAAAGAGCCCGGCACCTCCTCCTCTCTCTTGCTCTCTCTCTGACCTCATGACACATCTGCTTCCCCTTCACCTTCTGTCATGACTGGAAGCTTCCTGAGGTTCTTACCAGAAGTAGATGGTGGCATCATGATTCTCATACAGTCTGAACCATGAGTCACATGAACCTCTTTATAAATTACCCAGTCTCGGGTATTCCTTTACAGCAACACAGACTGAGACACCACACACATCTCTTCTCTAATTTATCTTGGACATCTTCATCTAGCAAAGCCCCGAGTTCCTATCTAGGGCCTGTGGGCTTCAGGGAGATCATGAATCCTCTGAAATTATAAGCAGGCTTTTGTGTTTATGCCACACAATTTCCCTTTAGTATTTACTTAAATGTAGCATAATTTTAATTATTTATTTTAAATAATTTATGTTGAATTATACCATGTTTTCAGGCAGAGTATAAGAACATAGTACAACAGATACCTTTGTGCCCAGATTTAACTGTGGTTAAATTTTGCTTCCGTTTTCTTTTAATTTGCATAAAAGACGGTAAAGTACTTTACTTCACTTGCAGATACAAGTCAAGCTACCCCACTCCATTCTGTTTCCTTCCCTCACCCTCGGGGGTAATCACTATTGTAAAGGTAGCTGTGTTCTTCTGGTCCCTATTTTTATGCTTGTATTGTTTATGTTTGTACCTATAACAATGAATAGCATTGTTTTATGTGTTCTTAAAATTAATATAAAAATATTACCTTACTCACTGTGTGAGATTTTTCTCTAGGGTGTATCATAAGAATAGAATTGCTAGGGCGTAGAGCATCTAAATTGTCTGTAATAATAAACCCTCAAATGACAATGGCTTACATAAGTAGTGTATCTCTCCCTCACATTAAAAAAATAATCAGTCCTGGCTCGGCGCCCAAAGCACATTGGTTATGGTGCCAGCCACATACACTGTGGCTTAGAGGGTTTGAACCCAGCTCAGGCCTGCTAAACAACAATGACAACTGCAACCAAAAAATAGTCGAGTGTTGTGGTGGGCACCTGTAGTCCCAGGT